TATACATCTAAATATATGTATATATGTACATGTCTGTAGCTCATGGCCGTTGCTGATAATTGGGCCGAAGGACACTTTAACATTTTGATACCCTACCCAAACACGTCCGCTGCAATCGTGCTGATAACCGATAAGGTCTAAAAGTAACTGTACGGCCATATAACGAGCACGATAAATTGGAGCAATAACAACAAGAAATCTCAAATATACGCACACGCTTAGGTGAAATTTTTAGTATATTCTATATATATATATAGATTTTCATTTATATATATGCCATATAGCATGTCAGTCTATTAGATTAGATAATTGCTGTGGACTCATCGAAGTCGGGCAGGCTCTCTATGCATGACATGGAAAACGTCCCAACAATAATGAATAGTATTTGTTGTTCAAGTTGCTTCGCTTTTTTTTTTTTTTGACTCGTAATGCTCTCCGCACAAAAGTTGTAAATAATGTTAAGTAAACTTGAGTTACATCAGCAAAAAATAGAGGCAGAGTGAGAGAGGAAGAGCGAGAGATTATTTTAAATAATATAAAATAAAATAGAGCTAAAGCTGAATACAACGTCGGATTTGGCTGCCTCTAGATATGCCCCCTTGTCGCCCCACCCCTTTTTTGTGTTTTGTTTATTTTTATCATTTTCGTTAAGCGTGCTAAAAATTCATTTTGTCAGCCAAAAAGACATTTAAATTCCACATTTATTTTATTTGTCTTACTCTTCACACGCAGCTCGATTTGATCTGATGAAGAAGTTGCGTCTAGAGTTTTGCGTACGCGCAGCGGAGGTCGTCCAGAGAACACTTTATATATATAGTATATACATACATATAAAGTGAGAATCGCGTACAAATATTTACAATTTTAGACATATTTAAAAAAAACGCACTTCAAATGCAATTAGTTTACAATTGATTTGCTCTATAAGGCAGCTACAACCGTATATGCTATATATGCTGTAATTATGATGTTAAGGGTAGGGGTGACACAGAGGTGGGGTCTGGGCGGCTCTGTACTTGAGGTCTTTGGGGTTTGGCAGCTGCTTCCGGCAACAAGTTTTCAGACAATTGACAATTGCATTCGGCCCGCGAGACTTTGTCTTATATAAATGCACGCGACACGTGCACGATAAGCGCTAAGGCCTTTGGCGGTATTATTTATACGACTGTTTCAGTTTCAAGTGTTACTATAATTTTTTATATTTATTTTTGCCGTTACTTAAATTATTTTTGGTTTACATACCATTGGCGTATTTCCCAGTTTTCACCATATTTAAAGTGGTTGTCATGTGTGCAGCGCGGGTTTACAGTTGAATATATGTAAATCTCCTTTTCTTTCTCTCGCTCTCTTTTTCTTTTGCCCTGCAGTCAGTGCTGCACTCAGTGGAAATTTTATATACTGGTTGGGACGTATCAAACAACGTGCTTTGACGACATTTAGGCTAGTTGAAGCACATGTCTTTGATATTTAAATGAAACGATTTCGTTTTCGTTTCCACGCTTATTTCACGGTTACGAACACGTTTTGCTAGCCAGCTAGCTCGCCGTCTACTGCATAGAGATACAAGCAGCTGGTGCTGCGATACAGTTTACAGTAAGTGAGAGAGAAATACAGCAATGGCTAAAGATACTTTTTTTTTTTGTTAAATAAATTTTCTTCTTTTTATTTTTTATATATTTTGACCCGTTCGAGTGAATTTAACGCGGCTTTTAGTTTGTTCTAGCGTGCGATTGCGACTGCTTGAAATACTTTCCGCAGCGATTCTTTTATAAATATGATGATCGCCGCGCTCGCCGCACTCGAGAGAGTTCGCCGCGTCCGAGAGGCGAGTTGCTGTCACTTTGTTACTGTTCGTTGATGTTGTTGTTGTTGGCTAGCACACACATGTGTATCGCGTGAATTCCATTACCATTCGCTTGCGCTGGCTGCTCTTGCTATCAGTGAAATCCGAACACGCTGGCATGCAAGAGCACACGCACACACACACACAAACAAGTGCACGAAGCCGTCGGTGCGCGAGTATGTGTGTTGGTTGCTCTCCGCTCTCGAATTTGCCGGCCAATATGTAAACAACAACGAGTTATCAGTCACAAGTCACTTACACTCAGTCTCGCCCGCGCCCTCCCTCTCTGTTACACTCTCTTCGCCTCTTCGCCGCTTCCTTTCTCGCTCTTTCCTTTACATCGCCTGTGTAATGGCGTTTCACATATTGTAAATACCAAATTAGTCACATAGCAGACAATGCTCTCTCACTGCCACTCTCTCTCTCCCTCTCGCTCTCTCTTGCACTCGTACATTCTTTTGTTTGAGTGGTGAGAGCATTGTTTTAAGGACTCTGTTACCATTTCGTTTGTTTCGCTCATTTCTTTGTCTGTTGATAAGCTGAAGCCGCGCTCTCGAGGTCAAGCCGCTGATAATCTATGCGCTCACTTGCAAGGAAGTCTCACTCTCTTCTTCTTCTAGCTGTGTTATTCTAGTTGAGAAAAACAAACTACTTGTAGCTTGACAGCTGTCGTCTTTTCTATATACACATACATATAAATATACTATTATCGCAATCAGAATTGCTTGTTCCCAACTCTTACACAATTTATTAATTAAACTAATGGCAGCCATTCCAAGTTGACATCAATAGATGCCCTAGCAGTAAAGTTTATATCAATTATAAGGTACACTTTGTAAGGCGGGGAAATATTTTAAAACAAATTAATTCATGCTTATCAATTGAGTTGAGACTTTGATTTGGCGAAAATGCTATCACAGTACGTTCAATGCATTGTGATGCCATCAAAGACAACTCAATTTTTATTCATATTGAAAGGCGCATACATATAAATATGTATATTATTAAATTCTTATCAGCGTTTTTTTTTTTTTTTTTTTTTTTTTTTTTTTTTTTTTTTTTGAGGAACAAGCATATTCCACACGTTTTTTATGCACGTTTGCCGTGCTTTATCAATTAATGTGGTTTTAAGAGGCAATTTTTCGAGTGATTTTCAGTGATTTTTTAATATTTCCCAACTCGAGTTGGTAGAACCTAGGCATTTGAGAAGCCCTTATCAGATCTTAGGCATATAAAAAATCAGTTCTCAGCTAAGAGCTAGCATATGTGACTATATTTAGCTTAGCTATAAATCAGCCTAGTTGAGTTTTAATTGAGTCAACTACTTGAGACTTACAAATTGACTATATAAATGACTGACTGCCTGACTGACTGTCTGAGTTGACTCGGTCTGATCAATCAATCTAATCGCTAGCGATGTTATCGCCATTGTGTCACACCCACGCACTGAAAAGCTGCCCGAAATTCAACAGAAAATCTGTGCAAACGCTTATCAAAATGACAAATGGCAAACAGCGCACTTGACGTCAGGTGAAATGGATGTGGATGCCATGTCGGCTCAGCAGACAGGAGGAAGGGAGCCGCACCTCCCACAGCTATAACAATTAAAATGCAGCTTGTTTGTGTTGTGATTTGATATCGATATGGAAATTTTTGCACGCCATCGATACAATTTACATATAAACATGGGTAAACATACATATACAGAAACACATATACATGCATATACATGTATAATATATGCATTCCCGCCAGTTACATAAGTACGTCTTTGGCTACTACTAGTGGAATTTTTCCTACAGCTGCTGCGTTTGGTATGCGCCGCCAATTGAACTGCGCCAATAAAACAGGCCAAGAAACTGTCGCTTATACCTCTGACCCATTAAAAACCCATTGGGCTAACAGGGCCTAATGTTTATGGGCAAGATTATGCTATAGGCTGCAGAGGCCTTAGCCTGACTGCATATCTATCGAGTACATATATTCAGAGCGCCATCTAGTCATATATGTCTTGCTGTCTATCTTGCTCTCTGTTCGTATACCTTGCCCTCTGTTTCTCTTTTAGCCACAAATATTCTTGCGTTATTTTTGTCTATTTATTTAGCCGTCTATTGTTTTATGCCCCTTTCCGGCCGTCTGTTTATTCAATTTTCCATTGTCTGTCTACCGACGTGTCTCGACTTTTATTCCTCTATTTCCCTTTCCACATCTATCTATCAATCCTCGTGTTTGTTTATCCATCTATTGTTCTAGACGCCTTCCAACTCCTATATATCTATCATTTAGTGCGTATATCCGTATGAGTCCTTCTACCTGTCTATATATATTATTAGTGTATCTGTCTTTCGGTTTACTTATGCATTAGTCTATAAGTATGTCCGACTGTCTACTTATTGGTTTATCCGTAATTCGCTGGTATATGTATGGGTTATCTTTCTCTTATCCTTGTATGATTTTATCCGTTTATTCGTTGTTCTATCGGCCTGAATATTCTGTTATCCTTCATACAGCATATCCATATGCGAATCCATTATAAATATACCATATTTGATGCACCAATTTCCCACTCATCTCAGTGTATCTCCTAGTCAGTCATATACCAATAAATCAAGCTTCTTATTTTAGCATAGATTACTCATACGCCGCGTATGATTAAGTTATAAATGTTTAGTCAAACAAGAGTTTAGGGCAAATTCAAAATAGAATGGAATTCTATCGCAGCCAGCATTGACATTGAATTAACATGCCAAGTTCAAATAGACTAGAGTTATTTTCCATCAGACCAGACCAGATCAGCCCAGACCAGCACAGCCTAGCACAGCCCAGCCCCCAAAGTCGATGGGAAGTGTGTCGTCCCGCTTTGTAGTTGATTTTGGTTAGCACATAGTAACCATAAAGACCTTTAGGCTTGACTGGCAAATATTTGCCAACGATATTTCGTGTCGATTTCAATTGACAATCTAGCTACTAATATGGATATATGCATATATGTATGTGTGTCTATGGAGATAGATGTTTGTCCAGGTCATCTGCCTGTCATCGAGACTAATTGAATTGTATGCAATCAATTGATGTAGCTCAATTGACATGAATTAGCATGCGCATGGAAACTTTTCAGCATAGTTACTCATCCGTTTGAGCACCTGGTGCTAACCTGGCCCTCAGCCACCTTCAATTAGAGTTGATTTGACTTGGGTTTGGCTTTCATTCTGCACTCGTTCAATGAAATTTCGAGCGCTGGCAAACTGTCAAAGACGCGTTTCTATTTTTCCGCAATTGCGATTGCGATTGCAATTGTAAATGCATTTTCATTTTAATTGCAATTCTCTCTCTCTCTCTCTCTCTCTTTATCTGGGTTGCTGCGTGGGCGTCACTGCTTGACAGCTCGCGCGGCACGTAGTTCATTTAAAATAGAACTTTTCATTTCCACAGCTCGTGCAGCCACTTGAATTTTCACATTCAACCACACACTTCAACTGGGCGGCATAGCACTTTTCCTCATTCAATTTGACAAGCTAAATTGGCGACAAAGACCAATATATATTTATACAAGTCGATATATCACGTGGACAGCTACTATCGCGTGCACAGCTCCTCTGGAATGTAATGCAAACATATGCCTATATATCTATATATATATGTACCTTACTCAATTTGTTGCAATTGTTGTTAAAAAAAAAAATAAACCTTAAAGTGGTAAAACTTTCAAGCAAAATACATATCTTAAAGCTAACTAGAAATCAAAATGATAATTAACTAAAAAAAATGCTTTTAGTTCATCCTGATCATCTGATTAGAGTTTATAAATATTCTCAATTTCAATCAAATATATCATATCTCATAAATATATACTCAAATATCACACATTCAATTTTATTATATCTATCACAAAGTTTTCGTAGACTTCATCAAAGAATTTTATCGTACCATAAACGAAAATAATTTCGTATTTATGAGGACGATAACAAAAGATAGGCTGATTAGTTAATTGCATGAGATAAGATCTAAATTTAAACCAAAAAATAGACGCAATAAAAGACAGTATGTGAGAGTACTTAAGATAAATGTATATTTAAATTAATATGTATACATATATTTATTGGTAAATTATATTTATCTAAAATCATTCAATATTAGAAAGAGAACTTTAATCGGTGAATATAAAATTATATACATTATATGAAAACCCTAACTAAAATTGGACTATTATAGTGTATCCCGGCATTCGTCTTGGTAATTTAATTTTTCTATGAATCGTTGTTTATTTATTCTCTTAAAATGTATATATTTTAATATAGTCAACTAACAATAAACAATGAAATTGGCCAGTCAAAGTGCCAAAAGCAAACACAATAATTACTCGTGATCATTTGACTAAAGAGATTTAACGGCTAGTTCCGTCCGCTGTGGTGCGATGCGTATACTTAACGAGGCGAGCGTCTGCAGTGGCATTAAATGGATATGGATAGTAGAACCTGTATGGTTAGTCATTCTGGTTCCATAATTAGATGCTTGGCTGCATTCTTATCTGGGAGCTAATTCGCAGAATGTGCAAATCTTATCATTGCGTATGTGCCGTGTGGTCCCGCCTGGAGCTGAGGCCACTGCGGCAGCCAGTGAAACTGATTTATCACTGTGACATCATGCAGCACGGCACCAACACAGAGATACAGAGAGGCGCCGGACCAGAGACAAAAGATCAAGCGGTACAGTAAAACAGCAGTGGAAAAGCTTTTATTTGCATATTTATTTAACTCAGAACACAAACAACAATTTAAAACCTTTGTGACAAGGCAACTTGATTCATGAATAAAAAAATAGTGAAACAGCGTGACAGTGCATAGATGATGATTAGCACACAAATCAGTAACTGTTTTTGTTAAGTTTATAGCAATCCAGTTGAATTTCACCTTTTTTAATGAGATGGCTATCAGAAAAAATTAAAAATAATATATTTATACAT